AGCTTAGTAACTAAGCTGTATTTCAGTCTAAAAAAATATGAAATTTCGAACAGACTAAAGATAATCTACCTCCTTGAAATCTTGGTTTGAAAGAAAGAGATGACATCCTAAGAATTTAAAATGGCTAAGAAAGCCACTATGGGGACATTCTGAGCTTCTGATTGGTTATTCATGTTATATATAGAAGTAAGTGTATATAAGGGAGCATTTCCAAAAATGGAAAGAGGTGGTTGGAATGACACTGTGTTTGATTCATTACATGAGCAATATCTTAGCAAATAGAAAAGATAAGAGGCTCTTATTTTATATTCTAGCTTGTCAATATTGGTAATTCAAGTTCATAATTCTTACGTAATTATAAACTTAGTATATTGACTTCACAGACATCTAATTTGAACCAGTGCTACATTCAACATACCACGTGGTACACAAAAATCGATGTTTAGGTGTGTTTTTTATATTTATTTTTAAATTAACAAATTGAGTAATGTATAATTCTAAAATTTGAATTATAATCTAGTTTGATACCAAACTTATTGACATAAATACATGAAATAGTAGTTCAGTAAAATTTTGAAATCGAGTCAACAAATGAGATGACATGGCCTTTCACCCGTGACCCGTCTAGAAAAGTTTAAGCATGTTTGAAATATCATTCATTTAATATATTAACATATTAACAAAAGCTTTCAAGCAATTAGTTAAATTTTCATATAAACTGTGCATGTACTTATATAACCACATTTTACCTTGATTCATTCTGTCATTTTATCACTAATCAACATTTTAAAATGTCATGACACAAGTAAACCAGGTGCACCAAGAATATAGTTCACAGCACCAATTTTCCAAAATTTTTTGTGTAAGATCCCCATCAGGAGTATCTTACCTTGGGCCAAGTGGCCAGAAGTGCTGCTATGTTCCTTGATAGCTTTACCAGCTCATTCTTTCCAGTCCCAGCTATCAATAGTATATAGTTCTTTTGGATCTTCAGCAGACCCACTCTTAAAAATCCCTGGTTAGGTCACAGATAATACTTTATATCACATCATTTACTTAAGTATGGTTTCTTACCTTGGCAGTGTTCTGGTATTTATCTTTTTCTTCCTGAAGTTTCGTTAGTTCTTCCCTTAGCTTATCTTCACAAGTATTCTTTGAAAGAATATTAAATACTAATTAACTTTAATGATAAATTATGAACAGATAATCATGAAGAAGATCCATAATGATACATATATCCTTATATGAAATACCATATTTTTGAAATTGTTGTTGTTGTTTGCTACTAGATGCCAATAAAGAACAAATAAATCAAATGTTTAATAAAAACAATTTTCTTATAGACTTCCAAGGTGTTTGAAGTAAAATTTTAATAATCTACCAAACTAATTATAAAAGAAAAAAACAAATATTCTGTAACATAAGAAAATATTTTCTTTTTATGATTCACTTGTATTAAATGTTGTTTTTCATAAAAAGACCTTTATATATAATCTTTGATAATCGCACAAAATATTTGATACAAAGAAAAAAATTCAGTTTTATAATTTGGAAGTAAAAGGAGCAAATCTTAATCTAGAACTGTTATCAAACTTTAAAAAGAAAAAAATCAGCATTATATTACAATAATAAAAAACACAAAAAGCAAAATAAGACAAATTTTGAAGATGTTTTTCATAACTCAAAATATTATAATGTTTAGCAGAAACAGAATCCAATCCAAACAAAAACCATCCATAATGACATAAAAACATGATAATTAAAAACTACATTTGTCAGAGAAGTACAAAAAGCATAATTTTTAAAGAAAAACATCTGTGACGAGTATGTGGATATCCTGCCTGTCAGACAATTCAAAAATACAGATGAAAAACAAAACAACTAGCCCCTATTCAATTTTCCTTGTTACATGCGTATATACATATAGATATTAGTGTAAAAGGCAACTCACACCCGAAAGCATTACTTTTTAATCTCAGCATTGCCAGGTACCTTTGCTAAGTGTGTGTGTGTGTAAGATATCAACTTACAACTTCACATAAAAGTGACATAACTATATACATCTTTCTTAATCGCAGTTTAATTCCTTCACGCCCCGATAGGTGGAGTCTGCCTCTAGGGCAAAACTGTACCAATGAATTGAAAAAATTACAGAAATAAACTAAATAAAATTTCCAAACATTAAAAAATAAAATACTTAAGGGTTGAAATTTATTAAATAAAAAATTTTTCTTATTCAATTTCACACTTAAAGATTTAAAAAAACAACAACAAAAACAAATGCTAGTTTTGATTTTTGATTGATTTCAGTAAAATAATTTAGTGTTTTTGAATTTCCTGAATCCTAGGAGGAAAGTCATAATAGTTTGAACAAAGGTGCTAATTTATCTTTGTGGCTTGAATATAAGTGAAGTTTTATTGATTTTTCACTGCTTCTCAACCTCACCTGTTATGGTGTGATGTAACTGGCTAAATATCGGCTTTAAGAAGTTACAGGCTATTGATCTATATATATATGCATTATGAAAGCTCTTTTACATTCTCTTGAACTGTAAAACCATTAAGACTTCCAATTCACTGAAAATTGGAACAAAATTATAAAAGCTTAGCTTTGTGAAATGTTGCTAGAAGATAAATGACTTGCAAAAAGTTTTATTTATTATTTTATATTTTATTCAAATGATGATATGAAAAGTGAGATAGGAAAATAAATATTTTTTTGTGGAACAAAGCAAAGTAGGCTTTTTAAGTCATTATGCACCCAACCTATCACGTTTTGTTTCATCAAAAAAACTAATGTGTTAGACTTTGTTTGAATTACCTTAGTAACTGTTTGAATGGGCAAAGAAAACTGCCAAAGTGAAATTTAAAGAATATATATATATATATTAATGTTCATAAATTGAGTTTAAAACTTATTACATATACTAAATAAAACTTGTTTGTTTGTAATTAAGCACAAAGCTACACAATGGTCTATCTGTACTCTGCCCACCACGGGTATTGAAACCTGGATTCTAGCATTGTAAATCCGCACGCAGACATACCGCTATGCCACTGGGGGGGCACTAAACAAAACCTTCTGATTATCAATTTAAAAAAGTTAGTTTGATTATAATTTTGGTTTGGTAAAGTTATTTTTATTGAACAGTAATAAACACAGTGAAACTGCATGCATTGTTTTTCAAATAAAAAATAAGATAAAATCTATAGTTTTCAAAATAAAAACTTTAGAAAATATAGGAGGATAAAAATCAGCAACTAAAGCCTACAACATTTGTAAGCATTTTTAGTTGTTTCTTTAAAAAAGTGTATCACTAGGAAATCTTTTTAAAATTTCAAAGCTGTAAATATTTCAAACAAATACCATTTATAAAAATAAGATATTTCACTTACAGAAGCTACAAACTCTGTAGAAAATAATTATGAAGTTTCACACTATTTCATCCAGTAGTTATTTTTTCCCAACAAAATAAAACAAACCATACAACAGGTGCATCAAATCAACACACCTGGGTCTTATAGAATTAAAAATTAGAATTAACATGAGTTCCTAGCTCAAGTCAATCAAAACCAGTATTGTTTAACCATAATAAAAATCTTGGGTTGTCTTTTCCATAACATTTTATTTAACTATTTCATTCTAAAACTGATTTTAAAATAAAGTATTACAAACTGATTTCCATAAGTTTAGAAAACCTGAAATAATATGTAATAAAAACCTTTTCTATTGCAAAAATTTACTTTCCTTAACAGTAAGTACACCAAGTATGAGAAATTATGTGGCTTAGCAAATGATGTTGTGTGTTAAATTAAAAAGTAATAGCAATAAATATGATTTGTTAATTTAAAAAGTAATAATAAACATTCGATGACGAGGAACCCACTTTGAGACTAATAATGGCTGGAGAGTACCTGATGATGACAAAACCTTGTCGAAACGTTGTACATTTGCTGTCATGTTAAACTTATATTAAAGTTTTTCTTCATTACCCATTTAAGCCGTCTCCAGCCATTAATAATAAACATGTTTTAGTAAATTGAAAAGTAAATATGGTGAGAAAGTCTGCTTACTCTGTATTTAACATTTGATAAACTGCAAAACAGTTACCAGAACTTACTTTGGAAGCATCCTGTAATTGACTTTCTAGTGTTTCTATTCGACTTAGTAGTCGATCTTCATCAATCAAAACCTGTAAAATGAGTGAGATTGTGTAAAATGTTTGTGTACATCAATCTTTTAGTTTTAGAGATATGCATGCGAAAACACAGAGACCTGATTGCAATACTCTGCCCCACCCCCTTTGGGGTGAGGGTAAATATAACAACTCTACTGATCAACCAAGCATGGAAGATAACATTAACTGGTTATTTGTAAAATATAAACATAAAATGGCATAATTTGTTATCAATCTTTCTTCATTAAGTACTTGGAAAACACATTTCAAGAGAACATCTTTCATAATGTACATATTAAACACATTATCTTTATTCAGTATGTTCCTGGTAAAACACACGTTAAAATATAAACTCTTAAGCCAGTATACTTCAGATATACACTTATTATAAATCATGTTGTCTGGTCTCAATGATTTGCACAAAACTCAGGAGCAGTTTATTTTACAAGTGAAATACACAGAATTCATCAAGTTTTTTACATCCTTGCAGTACATTTTTGATAATCGGCATGGTACACCAGTGAAACCTTGGTAGTGTAAATATTAGGTGCAATCTCTTTACCCAGTATCTGTTTGGTAGTGTACACATTAAACACTATCTTTAACCAGTGAACCTCTGATAGTGCAAATGTAAGACGTAATTTCTTTATCTAGTAATCTTTAGTAGTGTACACATTAAATGCTATTTTTAACCAGTGATTCTCAGGCAATGTATATATATATATATATATATTAGACATGTTTCTCTTTAAGCAGTATCTCTTGGATATTGTATAGTTAGAATGTTAAGTACTATATCTTTAGCCTATATATCTCTGGTTACAAAAATGTTAAAACAATTTCTTTTATGACAAGTACGTGTCTATTTACTTTGGTGTTAAATATTCTTCTTAATTATTTTGGCACTCAGATACTGAAATATTATTCATAGTACTAGGTATCTGAATTAAATATTTGACTTCTTTATTACAGCACCATTTGGTAATATATATAAAAACTAAGAAGATACAACCCTTACACTTTTAAGAATCATAATAAAGTGTTCTTCAAACCATTTTGATAATTATTTCTGTCTAGTTACATACTTTAAAGGAAACCACTATTTGTAATTCAAATAATTATTCTGGATAATTAGCTCAGCATAATTACATATTTTAAATCAGTTCTTTCTGACAATTACTTCTGTCTACTTCCATATTTTAAAATAAATTCTTTCAGATAATCAGTTCTGTATAGTTAAATATTCTAAATCACTCTGATTAATAACAAATATTAAGTATTAAGAAATAATGAGAAAATAATAATAACACTAAATATCTATAGCTTTACAAAAATGGTAATAGCTACATAATTAATGAATACAACTTGACTATAATAAAAAATACATCTGGAATACATCAACAACACCAATGATAACAATGGAGTTTTAAAATCAGTTTATTTCTGGACAAAGAAAATTTGAAAATAGCATTTTTTAGAAAAAAAAAGGAAAGACTGAACTTACTTTCCAACCACTGTCTGATGCTTCTTGAGAGTTAGACACTACTCTCTGTAGTGTGGCCAGCTTAGTTTCTAGGATTTGCTCTCGATGAAGAGCTTCCTAAATAAACAATACCAGTTTATCTATTCTGGATTGAACCAAGTATTAATATTCAAGTCAAAGGAAAATAACAAAAACCAAAGGGAAAGTTTATGTCAAATATGAACTTTAAGTTAAGTTCAGGTGTTACAGTTCGCAAGTCTAATGTTTAAAGATTTCAGACCAGATCTGAATTTAACAGAAAACTGAAGTCAAACCCGAAACAATTGTTCAAGTTACTGAAAAAAAACTTTCTTAACTGTTCTGCTTAATAAAATAGTTCTGTAAGTATGGGATGTATGTTTCTGTTATCAAAACTGTAAAAAGAACTTAATATAAGAGAAACTGTTATCTTTCATTAAACTTCATACTTTTTTTGAGGGGTGGCAAATAAATTAAGAGAAGAGGGGATACCGAGAGAGCAAATGTCACAATTTTTATACTAGGGAAAATTTAGGATTGCTTTTTAAATACTTCCCTTATAAAATTAAGATCTTAAGGCTTATATAATATTCAAATTTGGTTTATAAGCTATGTTTAGATGCCAATTTTGTTCATACCATGATAATAAAGTACTTTTATTAACTTTGGAATGTAACACAATAAAACCTTGTGACATGTACAGAAAAGATGTCTGTATGAAAGTGTTAATAGGGTAGTCATAAGTATTTAGTGTACGTTTCTGACATCAAAACTGTAAATACAACTTCAAAAAATGGGAAACTGTTAACCTTAACTATATGCATACAGATTTTATCAATTTGACTGGCCTTGTAGTGTGCATATTGCTTTCTTTTTTTACAGAGTTATATTCATAATTTAGTTAACTTAACTATCAATGTACGTCACCTACATTTGGCATAAAACATAGCTTGTAACGCAAATCTTGATAATAACTAAGTTTTAATTTCTTAATTTCAAAAGGAAATATTTAACAAATTCTCAGTTTTCATTCTTCTGTCACTTGACACATATGCCTTCTGATCTCTCCTAGTTAGATTCTATAAATTCAACAATAGTTTCTGTAGTTCCTAACAAATTAGAACTACAAACTACATATTGACAAGAAAGAAAATAAAATGTGAATCTGCTACCTTCTTGATTTGCCGAGATTTTGATACATTTGTCAAACTCGCCAAAGAAGCAACTCCCATCTTTCCCTCACGGCTACTTGTCTGATGGACATGTTTTAAACCAATATAAAGAGTATATTGTAATGTACAGGAATCTTAAGTTAATTTGTTCAATTTTGGCAAACAAAGATGGTAGCTCACAAGAAAGGCATGATATAAGTTGGGTAAAATTGTTGCTCCAAACAGAAGTAGTATATTATTAACTATTTATAGCTTAGTTAGAAAGCCAGATAAATTACAATCGTCTTGGGACACTCTCTTCTGGTGCCCGATATATTTTTAGTGTTCTAAAATGCATGTTCAAAGCTAGATTAATTACTTTTTGGACAACCAACATTGTGAGAAAAAGTAAGGTTACTAAAGCACGGTCTCTGAATATAAATGGCCACAATGCCAAAAGTGAGTGCTAAATATGTTGTTTTATGTGTATTTTTATATGTTTTGAACAAACTAAAATGTAAAAATCAGAAACTCCTTAGGATAGATAAAATTTAAATGGAAAAAAAAAAGAAAAAATCTTTATATGAAATTGGTCGATAGAGAAGCTCACAGTATGTACATTGTTTGTTTGCTCTGAGTTCTGACAATGTGATTTATTGATTTTCATGTGAGAGGTCCAAAATAAAGTAATAAATTATAAAATTAAAAGAAAATAGAGAAAATAGAATTGAATAGAAAATTGAGGCTATAAGAAAAGATAATTTTAACTATTTGTTACAACCTGCAGTCGTTCTAGGAGAAAAAAATATACTGATTTTGTTTCATACTTTCCAACATTTCATTTCACTGTACAATGATGATTATGCTACAATTAATGCTAGGATAGAAAAACTATAAAGTTTTACTAAAAAAAAATTAAAGTAAACATTAATTTATATAATAGAAAACTGTTGTCCTTAACAAAGTAGTTCTGTACGTGGTGTTTCTGATGAAATGTTTATGTGGTATAAATAATAACTACAGTAGAACCTCGACATTAAGGGCATCCTTTCGACTGCATTCAAGTGCCCTCTATAGCACGGTGCCCTTAATATAAAAAATGAGCCATGCAAAGCTGGATTCCACGCAGACTGTACAAAATTTCTGAATTTTAAGCCCCCGCCATTTTATTTGGTGTATGCAGGACATGGGTGTACACGAGTTCACGTTGCCATGACATGGAGCATTGTCAACAGGGGGTGGATTAACTGTGACCTTTTTTTTCTATATTATTGGTCACATAGTTCCGAAGTTCTCCTCTTCAGAGTTTGAACTGCTAAACATTTCACATTTATTTTCTGTGCTTATTTTACTGTCAACAACTGAAGTAGAAATCTGCTTAAATAAAGCAACAAATCACCATTTGTGTCATTAGACTGTTTACATGACACTAATACAATACTCTCAAGAGCAACAAAGCACATGCACATAAATAAGTCAACTTGAACCCTGCTCTGAGAACACGATGTGGAATTGATCAGCTTGTGTTTCCTACAGTGTTTACAACAAGAATTTCCCAGAGTAATCAGATTGCACTTTGAATCCGTGAAAACGTTTATTACAGTATACGGTTCGGAGCCGATCCAAAAAAAAACACTGCAAGGCATACAAAGATAACTGCCCAGTTTATCAAGTGCCCATATAGAGAATGAGACTAAAAACACTGCCCTTAATCTGGAATATCGAGGTATCCGTTATTGCAACATTTATTTTGGTTATAAATTTGTAGAAAAAAGAAAGACTGAAAAGTTCTGCCCTTAAAGATGCAGTGCCCGTTAATCAAGGTTCTACTACAATATATTATATTCTACGATCATCACTAAAAAATTGTGACATCTTTTTAATAGGTAAAAAAACTACAAGAAATATTCCAATTTTGTGTGTCATTCAGGTACACGTTTTATACTGATCCATTATTTAATATATTTAGAGAAAACTACAGTTCAGTTACAGGACATTACTGCTGGGGGAAATACATTAAACACCTTGAGGGTGAACTTCCCTCAAATACTATCACATTATTCCTTTATTTAATGGTAGTTGCCTAAAATACTTCCTGAGAGAACATTTTTGCCAAATGAAGTTTTTTTTATCAGTATTACCAAGAATATAATTCAAATACTGTAATTTTCTAAATATAATATACATATTATTTATGATAAGGCAAAATTGACTCTTTATTAGTGAAGATTAGAGTGCATATTATATTTGTGTAGAAGACTAAAACTACTAACAGAATACGACTATAATTAGTTTTAATTATGTAAATCTGATGAATAAATCAATCAAGAATGTAATTTATTGATGTTTTATAACATACACTATTATTAAGGTAAACACATATAGAACTTTGCTTAGTAAATATGAAAATATCACAATTTGATAATGATTTTAAAAAATATATAAGCAGGGTTTCAAACTACGATTAACCTTTCCTTTTTTAATATTATATAACATCAAAAGTATGGTGAAACTGATATATCCACTAAATTTAAGCAGGAACTATATTTTTTTCATTTTGAAGCCATTTAGAAAAACAAAAACAAAGGAAGTATAAATGTTAAGCATAATTAATTTAATTGATAAGTCTAGTAATTTATATGTCAAACATAATTTATCAGTGTAAAAGATTTATCATAGCTAACAATATCAAACATATCCGGCTAACCTTTAGAAACCACATATACACTAACAAATATATGCACATGCTTACACACATCTCGCATTTAAATCATTTCATGTATCTATTACATGAAGCATTAGTAAACATGGAAGAGTAAACAAATCTGATGGCTGAGCATGAACAATCACTGCATTACCTCAATACCATTGGTCACATTGTCCATCTCACAGTACGACAATGATGACATCAACAAATGTAAACAACCCAGAGTTAATCAGAACAAACATGTTAAAAACTTAATTAAACAAAAATCAGCAACATAAAAAGAGTTAGACCTATATACAACAGAGGTGTTCAGAGTAATAACTTTTTTACAGTTGGAACTGTTTGTTATTTATATATACATACCTGAAGGTACTGGGATAGCTGGTAGAGGTCCTGTGTGGAGATGGTAGTACCAGGTGAGGTTGAAACCACAGCAGTGGTTGGGCTAAAAGGATGAAAAAAACAACAACACATTTACAAACAAATTATCATTCTTTAATGGTTATAATGTATCATTTCATAGTTTAAATCAATATAATTTCTTTAAGATGATTTCATAACAAATGGGGTGGAACATGCTTTTTTTGTTGTTTTTTTTTACAAATTTTGTTATTAGTTATAATGCCATAGCACATGAAGTAAATGATATATCCAAATCTGTACCTTGCTTTTGCTTCCTTCCCATCTGGTAAGAATAGTTTTAGGGTTGCTACAATACATCCATGGGTCACTTTAAAATAGAAACAAAATCATTCCTTAACAAAAACAGAAAAACCTTAGTTTGTTACAGTATTCAAATAAAAACAAAAAACATTGAAAAGGATAATGTCATAATATAATGTTTTATTCCCCCATTTCATTGACAAGCTTTTAATAACTAGTAACAAATATTATTAACAGTCATCAAAAATATTACTGCATTTCCACAGTGTAATCATCAGACCAATGAAGCAAGGTTTTTGTAAATATTGTTTATATTTTGTTGAAAACTGAGCTTTAAAATAAGTTGTTGTGTAAACACACTTTTACACAATTAGTGGTATGAAATATTTTTCATTGTTGTTTGATTTCATAAGCGTTTCGAGTTTTAAAAAAATGCAGTTAGAAAGTTGAATTTTTGTGATTATTGCAGCTAGTGTAGATTTTTCAGAATAAGGTTACCGTTCCTACCTTTATATTGTAGTTTTAAAATAAGTGGAAGGGAATGATGTCAATATGGCTACCATATCTTGCTCTTCAACAGTTTTTTTTATTACAGTATAAATCTATCTGGCATATAACCTCTAACTTAAGATTCTGTATTCTAACATACATAAGGTGGCATGAAATTTACTAACTCTTTAACAAAATTATTGTTATAAGAACAGTTAAATTTTAGAAGTTTTTTTTTTTCTTTATTTGTAAATTTGATTTTCTTCTATGAAACTGACAAAGACCTAATTTATGTGCATCTGAGTTTAATGTTGTTTTGAACTTCAGTTTCATCAGTGAAAAAAAAAAATTATATGGAATGATCCTGATGTAATTTTATGCTCTTAGCTCCGACTGAGAAAAACCAATGTTTTACTAATGACAGGGTGAAGTGCATCTGATTATATTTGGTACTAAAAACATACAAGTGAAAGTAAAACAGAAAATCTCAACCACACTACATCTGCTACATCTAGTGCTGATAAGGCCTTTTTACCCAATACCAGGTTTCATCAGTCTGGGTGGGATACAACAGACACACTAGTGGTCTAGACACTATTTATATCATCATCTGGCTGGCAAGATTATTATTTTTGACAAATCACATACACACTTCATATCTTACTCTTCCCTTAAAATTATTAGAACGAAACGTAAGATCTTTTAAACCTCAAGCATGGCAGGTGGATTTTAAAAACATTAATTTCAACAATAAATTAAAATATGGCTTAACTGTAAACTTTTATAATTATTTAACAAGCATTGCCCAGGAAGCTTAATTTTTATAATTTAAAAAAAATTCTAAATGAAAAACTGTCATGGGCAATAAGCTATACATGTGTACAAGATATAGGTTTGACTTTATATGACAACATAAGATAAATTATTAATAAAATTTGGATACTTTTAAAATTCTCTTTTATTAAATTTGAAGTAAATCATTGCATTGTTTAGAAAGTTTAGTTTCTATCTAAATACATGTACAAGCATGATGTTCCTTTTAAAGGACGATGTCCAAATTTAACCTATCAAACCAAATCAAGTTATGATGTTCCTTTTGCAGGGTAATATCCAAACTTAACCTGTTAAACCAAATCAAGTTATGATTTTCTTTTTACACGATAATGTCAAAATTTAAATTATTAAACCAAATCCAGTTATGATGTTCCTTTTGCAGGGTAATGTCCAAACTTGACCTATTAAACCAAATCAACTTATGATGTTCCTTTTGTCAGTAATGTTCAAAGTTAACCTATTAAACCAAATCAAACTTAACTATAAACACATTAACCGTACTGAACTGTTCTCACAAACCAATGAGACACTGATTAATAAATGTACAAATATAGGCTAAAAAAAAAAAGGTTAGAAATCAATAGAGGATAGATATGCTGTTATTTAGTCAATAATCACTGATGAAAAACAAGAATACAATGCTTGATAAATCTTTCATCTTAACTCATTCTTCTAAATAAGAAGATTTATAAATGAAATATGCATGTGTCATTCGTACTTCAGTAAGACTCGACTTTAGCTTAAAATGAGATGCAGACAACCATGAGGTATTGTATAAAGCAGGTAGTTGTATAAACATTTGTATTACTCAGGAAGTAGAAGAACTAAAATATCAATCACAATACCAGGGTTCTCTACCAATAAACTGAAACAATAGACTTTTATCCCAAAAAGGTCATAATGAAAACTACTGGTCTGAATGAAGATAAAATATTTTTTTTATCCTTATTGATCACTTATAAAAACTAAGCTTGAAATTATGACAACTAAAATATATTTTTAATATTACAAAACTTGCATTCTTGAGACAAATATATGTCCATATTTCCATGCAAAACCTCAAAAAAGTTAACTACATCTTCACTGAAGCTTATGAAGACATAAGAATACACTGATTAAATTAAAGATTAAATAAAGAAATTTAAAAAAGGTCAACAAATAAAACTATAACCAGTATTGGTGTCAGTAAATTATTTATGATCTTTGAAGCCAAACAGGATCACAGCAGATCTAAGGCACGGTGTAGCATCAAAGATGTTTTACTAGTAAAACCTCCTTGGTACTACACCTTCAATGATGTTTATAGCTTCTCCCTTATTTTTGTTTATGTCACCAACTGCCATATTGCTTGTACACCAAGTTGCAGTTATAACACCCACTATTCAAAACTAACTGCTACTATACATTGCATTACATGTAGGCATACTACGAGTATGTATGAACTTCATCTGGTGTGCGTATTTATGTCAAACATTAGTGAATATCACAGATATTCAACATGTCTGGTTCAAGAGCAAAAAAAGTCATTAGTTATTATTATATATTCTAGTTGTGGTTTGATAAATACATTTATTTTTTGTTTCTTTTATGTTGTATTCTCTGTAATTGTAGTTTAATGTATATTTAAGTCGTAAAGAATTTTGCATTTTAATTTAGTACTTTTTGGTCTTTTTTTGAACTGGGGTGAGTGAGCTGTTGTGAAAAACTTATGGGGGTGAATGATATTGGAAAAGGTTGAGAAGCACTGATTTAAGAAACAGTAGCTCAATAAGATTTCTTGTAACTGTTAAGTATTGTCAGGTTTTTGTAGTATGCATGCCAGTGTTGCCAGTCTCAAGATCATCCTTCTAGAGGTCTGTCTTGGTGTTTTACAGGTTTCAGAAATGAGACCAGCTAAATTTAAAAGTTTTAACAATATTAGACCAGTCACCTACCCAAAATTATTAAGCATTAAATATAAATTAACCAAAAGTTGATACGTTCATAAAGAATCTGTGTACTTAACCATTGTTTTAGCTTACGCCTGAGTCAAATTCTAGAAGTAAGAATAAATGTTTATTCTCGTTGTTACTTCAGGGTCCACCAAAAGAAATGTAGCGATTTAAGCTGCAACCATTCAAAACAAAGTTTGGTGGTATAATTGTGTTTATTATTTAAGACAGTGCTTCTCAACTCGGTGAATGGTTCACTCAGGGGTTAATGAGATGAGAATCGGGGTGAATGGCAGTGATTGAGTATTATTATTTATACAACAAAGTTGAAGTCATTTTTTACTTAAAGAAATGAAGCAGTGTATTTAAAAATTTATGTCCTAAAATATTTCAAATATATGTAACTAACCTGCTTACAAAACTATTAAAACCTGCTGGTATTGTTTTAAAATTAGACATTCATAAAAATAAAGCAACCTTTTCTAGTGTTTTCCACAACATCGACACCAAACTGGACAATATCCCCTGAGCTGACCTCTCTTGCTGGCGACTCTTCAGATCCCTTGCTGAGACGTTGGTTGTTGACAAATGTTCCATTGCTACTCTTGGTGTCCTGTAGAAAGAACTGGAAAAAAACAACAACATTATTTTGTACATTGGGTAAACAAAGTATAGATAGCCTTCTTTATGCATACTTTATCCTTGTATGTCTGAAAAAAAGATTCAACTCACTGTAATTTTACGTATTCATGAATATGAAAACAACCAAATGATATAAAAATATAAAAACTATAGGAAAAATTTCAAAATAGCAATGTCTACAGAATACAACACAAAATCCACACTAACCAGTTAAAAATTCAAATAAAAGTGGCCATTTTTCATTAAATCATTTAAGATATGGTGACTTACAAACATAAGCAATCTCTTGTTTAGTAAAACTTTGCAATACAGTAAGAGTTTCATCTCTTCTATGTTTATTGAATCTCATTAATTCTGTCTTTTTTTTAATTACTATTATTATTACAGATGGACATGATAACATCTACACCACTTGTGAAACTATACCTATCCAGTAAAGTTAGAAGTAATGAACTAGCTTACAATAGTGGCAAACATGCTGACAATTTATTTACTAGTCAAAACACTCATAGAATCATGCTGACAAGAAGCTAAAAATGATGACACCTCAGCAAAAAACAACACAACCAATAAAAAAAAAGGTAGGACTTTAATCAAAGAAAGAAATTATCTACACACACTAGGAGATTAAGCACACCAGGTAGTTGAGTGGCCAATGAAGAGTTAAAAAACAAGAAGGAAGAGTATTCACTGAAATTTTCTGGGCAGAGTGAAATATGCAAGAAAGAGCAAATGAGACCTTTTGCAATGAAAATAAAAGAACAACTTACAGACACCTTTAAAAATAATGTGACACAGACATATACTTAGAAAAAGGAAGCAACACATTCCAGGGTCAAATTATTAAACACGAAAATCAGAAAGTTCTAAATGAAGTAAAGAAGATGACAAACACAAACTGTACACAAAAGAAGCTACCACCACCAGAGTATCTGAAGATGAAAGAAACAAAGAATGACATGAAAGGTGTGCAGAAGACATGAGTTCCAAGTTTAGCGAGAAACACGTGGACAGCAGGACATAAAAAATGTGCAGAAGACATGAGAATTCTCTGGCAATGGGAAAGGGGATAACTAATAAAAGAAAAAACAAAGAGTAATGCCAAAACTCTTATGACCACATATAAAAAGTTACAATGATGTACTAATCCTCAAAATGTTGAGAAAAAGAAGATAAAGACCTCAAAGTTCGATCACAGCCTGAAAATCAAGAAAAGGTTTTGTGGGCACAAATAATGACGCACAACCACATGTTGATTAATTCTACAGTATAAGATAAACAAGTCTATGAAAAGATGAAATTATGATATTTGGTGAAAAAAAACAAAAAAACAAGAGGGTGGGGTTAAAATGACAAAATGATGATGCTGGGAGAAGGGTGAGAAGACCTGGCTCATGGCTGTCTAATTCATCAGTTACAACTCCACCCACAGGTAGAATTAACAGTACTTTCTTCTTTCAATACTTTCTTCAAACTTCTTTTAGAGAAGATATGTCCATTATAACTTAATTATAAGTATACATGAGTGCATACACATACATGCAGAGGAAATGGAAATATACCTTATACTGTGCTATTTAACTATCAAAAGTCACAAAACAACATAACTGATGTCATTTTAACAGCATGTCTTCAGTCATTGTTTCTCACAAACACCATCTCTACATGTACACAAACAGTGATTCTCCTTGTACAGGTAGACATCAAGGTAGATAATACAAATTAAAGCTATATGTATAAAGCCACAACAAGTGTGATGGCATAAACTAAGGTGACGAACATTCCAACTGTTTTTCCAAAAAGAGTAAGAAAGCCATTTGAATACTTGTATGTCTACCTTATAACTGTTTGAATGAGATATAGCATGACTATCAATAACATTATTGTATTGTACCACTTTTTAAACTAAATTAATGATTCATATTAGCTTGCATTTTTACACATGTACAAGAATATTTTAATGGATGCATCACTTGAGGGGGGGGGGGGCTTAGTAAACATGGAAGGTTTCACTATGTGTCCAAATTCAGAGAATGAAGTGATGACTCATACGAAAGGGGGGAGGGGATTGGAACCAAAAAACAATATCTTCTATACTATATATACATTATATCATTTTACAACAAGCATCTTTTATCTACAATGGCTTGCTGATAAACTAAATTATACAACAAATTAAAAGGCACATTTTTCCTATTTAATACTTCTCATATCAATACCATGTTGTTAAGTATGCACATTTACCTAAGCTTAACCAATTTGTCTTTGGAGTTCCATAACTCATTAAACTGTCAATTTTTTTTCTTTTGTTTGTATGGAAGATGTGTTGTATCAAGCCTCTTTAGTTAAAGTCTACCATACAAGTTCTATATTGTATAGTTGACAGATTTTGTCATAAATTAGTACAGTCTAAACTGAAGAGAAAGGGTCAATGATAGGTATTTGTTTTAAGGACTGAATATTAAATCCATTCAAGCAGAAAGAAAAGTACAAAATGAAATAAAGTATTTATGGAACAAAGAGAAACTAAAAACTGCAGTATATGTAGTATTTATTAGTACAAAATTACTGACAATTTTTCTTATTTAAAAGCTTATAACATTTGCATTTCTATAAATGTTCCTTCTATCATACTGAAATACTATTTATAGATAGACATTTTCAGTTTGATACTAAATCTTTAACACAACAGAACAAAGCTTTTAGATATACAACAAAATATATAAATGCTACATGTCAACTACATCAAAATACTTAAGAAAAAGTGATTTCTTCAATTAAAGATCTTTAAAGAAAGTTAATATCAGATCAATTTTTCTGTTCAATAATTAATTATCAATTCATCTAAATCCCACTAATCCCTGTAAAAGTATGAACTTGCTGCAAGGGTACCTGATGATGACAAAACCTTGTCGAAACGTTGTACATTTGCTGTTATATTAAACTTTTTCTTCATTACACATTCAAGCCGTCTCCAGCCATTATTAGTCTCATGGAAGTATATATTCACAGTCTTGTTAAACTATTACACTTTTTAATATAAGAGACCAATTATGTTATCATTCAAATAACAGAGATACTCCAAAAACTCCCAACAGTGGATGAACATCAGGTAAACAATGCTGTATAAAAACCATGAGAAAATAGTTAAGAATATTTGAAGTATCATCTACGATGTTTATTGCACTTTATGGAACAAAAAAAGTGTCAACCAGATATTGTAGCAGCTTATTCTTTGGGTGCAGGAAAAAACAATCATACTGTTTCATAGCGAACACTTGTATAAAAAGAAGCAGAAGTGAATTTTACTAAAATGCTAATGCAATCACAGATAAACATTTAATTTAGGGTCTTCTAAAGCATGCGCAAGTCATTTATTTTTTCAAATTTCTACTATACTTGTAGATTTTTGAACTGGAGGTTACAATACACTAAAAACTGCATGTCAGAATGTTTAACTAATTCAGCTGCAAATTAAGTTACCAAATCTTCAACCTTTAATAGAAACTGTATTATATCTAAGAACTTAAATTATAAATTACTTTGAAGGTGATGTAAAATGCACTTGAACTGTTTCTTCCCATCCCAGCATTTTTTTCACAAACACCATCTGGATATTGTCTAAGTCCCTGAAGTAATCATGTTAAGTAGTTACTTAAATGAAGAGGTTAAACAAAACAACAGAACTATATTGGCAGCCTCTTAGAAAGTACAAAGGGAGTTGAGAGAGTAGTAGTAAAAAGCTCTGGGCTAGAAATATACCAATATCCACACAGTTGTTTTAATGTATGGCAGGTATTCCTTTCGTTACCCTGGCAGGAAACCAACCTCCTTTTTCTTCAAGTATAGTAATCTATTCTTAGCAGTCTGTGGAAGGAGCCAATCTCTTGTATGTATATTTGTTTCCGGAAATGTGTAGGGTGTATCATTAATGATTCCACTGTTGATAACAGCAACTGTAGCCATAGTATGGTTAAAAAGGTTTTGTAATATAATTCAGTTAATACATGTCAAACATCAAAAAAATTCCTACCAATAAACCTAGTTAATGTTATTCTATATTTCCTATATAAAATTTAAAATGCTTCAGATTATTTTCTGTGGCTTCTTTAAGATTCTCTTTTAGATATTTGTGGCTACAATTCTTCATCATATTTGTGGCTATTATTCTTCAACACAAACAATGCTTCTTAAAGCTCAAATTCATTGTTAAAAGGTGACTCAAAAATTTTTCTTCAGCTGAATACTTTGTAAAGTTTTATTCTGGAATACATTCAAGTTACTATACATATCAGTTTAGTAAAATGCTTGTAATTTTCTTCACGAGTTCACAACTTGTAGCACTTAGCTCTCTCTGATTGTGTATATATATATATACACACACACATATATATATAATGTTGTAATGGATTTCTTTAAATTATTTGGTGAAATAAGGCTAAGTGCAGTAGAAGTAATGACAACAAATTAGTTTTTCTTCCTTAACATATACAATATTATCACTTGTACACAGTTGTACCTGTAGGATTAATTTCACAAGTAATGTTTTTACTTTCCACACACATTCACTCACTAAGCGTACTATGACTGGAGTGTAAGCCGAGCCAGATCAAGGTTAAGTGGGGCCCTAGGCTCAGATGATATTTGGGAATACTAATACTAATAACTCACTCTTGACTCTAATCTGCTAGTTTTACAAACCATGATATTTTTTACTCGGGTGATCAGCGGGACTCTTGTATGGCCAGAGCCCTAGGTGGCCTATACGTTAATCTGGTACTGAGAATAAGTGGTATTATCAAAAAGTAAGAGAGAGCAAATCTTCAGTTAATGATAGTACACATTTTTAAGTAGTCTCCATTTACTGATATGTAAGGTGCTGGCTTGTCAACGTTGGCTAGTGATTGAATTAATGCATCTCAAGACTTAAAATTATTTTTGTCATTCTGTGTTTAGTACTAAATAATTTTATAGAATAGTATGAACAGACAGAACTTTTAACACAGAATAAAACTTCAACTGATACTGTTGAGATTAACAGTGCAACACTAAATAACAAACCTAAGTGATAACACAAGAGATGTGTACAATATAGCTGCCAAGCTCTGGGTATCGGATTGGCATCATTATTTAATTCTAACATTATTGTTATATGGCCTCTATCATTGTCTATCTGAAACCAATAAACTATGACAATTACTTTTTTTCTAAGATGCCAAGAGAATACATATTACAATCTTCCTTTTAAATTTTTCAAAGATTATTTAAACAACCTTTTATATGTACTGGAAAAAAAGTGAATTTCAGTTTTCAGTAAAATAATAAAAAATTAATGTAAATGCTAAAAAAAAAAAAAAAAACTGTAGTGAAAGCAAAGCATACAAATAACTACTAAAGGCAACTATCAAAGAATAATAACATGAATACAGTCTCTCTCTAATCACATACTCTGAATCTTATCTATAAAGTGTTGCAGTGTCTGAAGAAAAGATAACAGTTTTAGGCTTAAAAATACCAAAGTGTGGCCTTGCTCTTACGTACAATTAATCTTCTTTATATTAATAAACAGTTACATATCATGAATCAGTGTCTGTTGATTTATTGAGTTTCTCAAATTATGTTTAAAAAGACTATTCATACAGAATAATTATCATTTATCCATTATAATAGATAATTATAAATTATAAATAGGTTAAATAGATAATTTGTGACTTGTATTTGTAACCTTATGTGAAAAACTCCCAACAAAAAATTAGCAGAATAATTTCTATGACAGCATTAAGTAAAATATTCTGACCTAAACTTGTTATATTCATATAAACTGGACAATAAATATATTTATATCGAACTGGGCATGATTTACAGTCTTCTATAGATGTAATATCTATACAAATAATCAGTTGAAGTAATGATTGCATATTTTTTGTCCAGAAATATGCATTCTTCTTTTTAAGATAAAAAAAAATATCAAAAACTTTATAAATACAAAATGTGCTATTTAAACTCCATGATTTATTTTTTAACACATGTACACATAGGTTGCTGCTATGTGTTATGCATGAGTGTACATGTACATTATAGATAAAAATAATGAACCTGACAGATTTGCAACATGCTATTTGACAAGTCTAAATAATATGAATCATTCTGAAGGTTGTTATTTTTAAATTTTTAAACTTGTAAAACAGGTCTTTTATTTAAGCCTATTGTTTTTTAAACAGGCTAGCTTGTACTGGTTTTCAATTATATCCTTATTACATATATGGTATAAATTATGTACACATTTCTTTAAATTAGACAATTGTATGTAGTTTCTAAGTTCCAAATTATATTTTCACTTTAATGTCACAAATTTACTTATTTGCAGCTTTTCTGTAAGTTTACATTAACATAATTTTTTTGCTAAAATAAAATGACATTACTATCCAACATTCATTATTTCTATTTCATTTATATAAATGCACTTATTGTATTATTGAGTGACTAATTTTCAATCCATATAAACAAGCAGTTTAATAATGAAGAGGGAAAGAAAATTGATGCATTTACTTACACCATGTTTACTGTTAAAATATTATCTTAGTAGTTATGTTTGACATTATTAAATTTATTAGGTGGCTTTAAAGTTTCTTCTCATTACATTTTTTTTTTATGTTTTTACAGGAAGAGTTATCCACGTATAATAAAGGAGTTCAGGACAGACTTTGTGATATTATAGTATAAAGAATAACATTCCTGTATACTAGTTATATTAAAAATCTCTCCAAACCAACATGAAAAAAAACAACATTAAAACAATATTAGGTGGTGATCCTTCATTAATTTTGATTTTATTTTTTTCTTACTCTAATGCTTATAATTGAACAAAGTTTTTTAAAATAAGAGTACGTTACTGTCAACATCCTGAACTTCCCATTTTATTTTAACAAGCTATGTTATAATTTCTCTCACTAACAGCCCTACTCCAAAATTATAAAAAAAAAGCTATATATATATATATATATATATATATGGTAAACTGCTCCAGAGGCTAGTGCCGTATCTTAAATTGAAAATTTTATTAAGTGATACATGTAACCTTGTATCCAGTTGTCAGAAAACTCACATTTGGATGCATTTCTATTATTATATATTTTCACTTAAATTCAGAAAATATTATCACAATCAATCAAACAAAGTAAAGCATGTCTGTATAATCTGAGCACATCTGGCTGTAACTTAAGCAGTTGTAGTACTGGTTCTTTGATGCTGTGTTTAGATTTATATGATTCACTATAGTTTGTTGGATTCAGAGTTTAAATTGTTTTACATAATCACATTGTTTTAAATTATCACATTGTTTTAAATTATCACAATCAATCAAACAAAGTAAAGCATGTCTGTATAATTTGAGCACATCTGGCTGTAACTTAAGCAGTTGCAGTACCGGTTCTTTGATGCTGTGTTTAGATTTATATGATTCACTATAGTTTGTTGGATTCAGAGTTTAAATTGTTTCTTATAAAAAAAAAGACCATATCGATAATTTGCAACCAAACTATCAAAACTCATAAACATTTGAATCATATCTTAAAATTATATTTTTGCAATGACCAAGTAAAAGATCTCTGAATAGATAAGTCACAGTAATAGAATATTGTGTTAACAAGTTTGAACAGGTTTAACTGAAGTTAGTGTCATTTTACTTGACAGTTTACAAAAGTTCTGAAGTTGACAATATACCTAACTAAAACATGCTTTAGCCAATTTTTTTTTCTCTCTAAAGCTTTTTTGTATCATTAATGGACTAGTTCATCTGATGCAGGGATGTGTGCTAACTGCTTAAATCAAACATATTTGTTAGAAGTACTTGTGCATTTCTTAAGGATTGCAAAATATTTTAAAAAGCAGGTGGGCAATCTTGATAGATCAAAGAACCTTGTGTTATATGGATCCAACTCTGTTAAGAAAACAAATGGCAAAACAATGGACAAGTATTAATAATTAGAAAAATATATAATGATTTCTTTCTTAACAATGATGATCAAGTATGATTTTCCAGAAACAATAACATTTTTATTTAATGGACTATTTAGTGCACTACGGACATAATTATGATGTATATCACAGCTATGAAGTCAGTAACTCTTGGGATTTGAGTAATGTCATAATGCAGTATAGAAAATTGTAATTTGCTCAAGTACACAATTTGACAAATATTTATAATAATTAAAATGGAATAGAATACATATGACACAAGAATCATACATTGTGGTCTACATGCCCAAGAATGAAATGTAATATGCATATATGTAGCCTGCTCATATCCTTTTGAATGGTTGGCTTATATAGTTACATTTCTTAGATACTTACTACTATATGTATTTAGTCAAATGCAAAATTTAAAACATTTTTGAAAAATACCCTGCATTTTTAATACCTAATAAACTTCCACTGAAAAAAAAAGGCTATTATGATATATTAGGTTTTGAACAGCCTTGACGAATTCACTATTTCTGGAAATCCAATGTGCAGTAAAAATCAGCTCAATATATTCTGTGTATGAAACTGACTTTAAAGACTTTACTTAACTTGAACAAAAGAAGAATTTTCTAAATTCTCTTTTACTACTGACTTGAATATGTCAAATCAATCAATTTACCAGAAATTTCTAAGGAACTGAAAATGATTACATTAATTTACTGAAACCAAAAACAGTAAAACCTTATCCACAAGCTTCTAATTACATATACATGTATATGCTAGGCATAATAATCAAACAAAGTAACAATCTATCAGATGCATCAAATAAAACAAACACAAAATGAACCATATTTCTAAAACATTATACTTATATGTATGACTGCAGTGTAAAGGGAGACTTAAGTTACATTTAAATACAGGATATCTGCTTACCTTGCCATTTTCATACCACAAGAGAGCATGGTTTCTAGATAAGACTTTACAATCAAATATTGCATTATTTGGAGCAGGTCGACATCTTGCAACAGATCGGCCCACTTTCACAGGTTGATCTAAAATAAGATGCCTTTCTTGAAATGGGTGAGAATTTGGCCGACTAATCAGGATGGCTCGAGACACCATCGGTAGGGAAGTCCCCACTGTCTTTTCTGCTTCATTGGGGTTAACTTCACCTATCTGAGTAGCCGTTGTTCCCGATTCAGTATCCAGGTCCAGTGGGTCTTTGCGACAGACAACCATGAAATCTTTCTTTCTATGACTTTGCCTTCAAGTCAAGCGTGAAGACTTGATGTTTGAAGAAAGTCATGAATTACCTCACCATATTAGTTTCACCAGTACAAGAGGAAATACTCAGGAAGTCCACTTTACCTTCTGCCAGTCAAACATCTGAGTCAGGAGTTGGATCTCTGCTGCTCACTACACAAAGAATTCACAAGATATTTTATCTATTGCAAGTTTTGAACAGTAAATAATTCTTTCCTGAAAACAACTTGAAGTCTCTTCAGTAATAAATGGAATTTTTCAATGGCCTCCATATGCGTACATAAATTAAAAACAATGTATCTCTGATATCTACCGGTCGGGTAGATATCAAGTCAGATATCTACTACTTACCTCATATACAATCTACTGATTTATTCTTAAATAACAAATTTTGATATTTTGTTTCTTGTGTATCTTTTGATAAAATGGTAGCCACAGAGAATCTAACACAACTAATTAAGCCAGTATTCTAAAAACTGGATCTGTGAAAATGACACAGAAGAAAAATGTGATAGATGAACATCTGTTAGAAATTTAATTCCTTGTTAATTCATAGGCTAGTTATGGTTGAGAGTTTCAGCGTAAATTACCGTAGTCTTAACATGGTTTCTATTTCTACTACTTTTATACTTTATTTGACATTTTGCTTCACTCCATAGTTGTGGTATTATTTCTACCACTTTTATATTATATTTGATATTCTGCTTAGTTCTATAATTGTGTGGTCAGTGGTGTAACTACAAAATATATCCCCCCCATGGCATTTATTTCCCTATAACTGTAGTTATGATTCCAGCTGATTGATAGCATTAACTTAACAGAATAGTTCAACTACCCTTTAGCTCAAACAAATTAAATTGTATGTCTTTCCCCTTGCTGGCAATTCTTAAGTTTGTCAAGCCATTCAGACCCCCTTTTGACTCAGACCACCCAACAACTGTGTGGGCTACAAGAGCATACTTATGTCTATGGTTGTGGTATTTTCAGCTTGATTTTCTTGATTAGTGGGAAAAGACAGGCTACGTTCTGGTCAACACAATTTCATTTATAGTAAGAAACAACTGATTTATGGACTGAGCTACCATGTAAGATAGGATTTGATGATTTCTGGAGAAATAGAAAGTGGGTTTGAAATTTGACTTTTTTTAAGGATCAGTGTACAAGGACAGCCATGAAGGAGCAAATGGCTCTTCATTGTTTATATATCATGGTAACATAGTCAATATATCTTTACTACAGCATTTCTAATCATATCCTCATTTGTTTTAAATACAAGGTCTATTACAGCATCTTGTCTAGTAGGATCTTTGTCATGCTGAGTGAGAAAACAATCCTCTATAATTTCAAAAATAAAAGTTACCATTCTTCCTTTACTTCTATACTTAAGAGTTGGGTGATTAGTAGTATTTCCCAGTGGATTAACCCATTAACTGACGGATATTTCAGTCACTGAAGTTCTATGGCTCAGCTGTGAATGATGGAAATATCCGTCAGTCACACATATAACTATAACTCTATGTGAATGACAATAATTACAGTTTTATTGTGATTGATGGCAACTCAGTTTTATCTGCGAGTTGAAAAACGGCAATCGAGCTGCTCCTGCAGCAGTTAATGGGTTAATCAACAGTAAGTACATGGTTAATAGATTAACATGGTAAGTACAAGCACAAAGTAAAGTTGGCAGCAGGTGCTATCAGCCAGTTGCCTTCCCTCTAGTTCAGCAATTTAAAATTATTGACAGTGACAGATAAGCTTAATAGTTTTGCCATAACAAAGAAAGAGTGAGCAAGTTTGGGAACAGTTTGATTACTTGTATAGTTGGAATAATCAGAAACCCTAATTTCAATTAGTTGATTATTTTTGTGACAATAAATTTAACTGTAATTTTGATTAATTGATTTTCGAAACAATCAAACAGTAATGATCAAAAGATGAATTTTAACTAATTCATTATTTTTGTGATAATTGATGTAATTCGAATTTCAATTCACACTTTGGTAACAGGTTTGTGTATTTTACACAACCTTGTAACCATGACGGTATATGTACTATAACTCTGAAAGTACTTAATTTAGCTTCAAGAAATTTGGCAAGCTTTCAGTAAGAATTACAAGTCTTTTACAGACAAAAAAACAGGATCTATAACTAAGTATTTTTACTAAACATTTGTCCTTTAATATATTGAATCAGAGTGTTGACTGCTCTTGAGTGAAAAATGATCTTCATGTTAATATTAAAAATACTTTTCTTAACCTGAAAATTTTGAAATTTCATTTGCATAATCTCTAAATACATTTCAAACTTCTTTTCCAGAAAAACTTTACATTTTATTTACCATAACTTTATATGGGATTGGTTGATTTATGAGAACTCACAACCACCATATAAAATTAGGTAATAAATCTAAATTACTTTTTGTTTTTCTTTCTAAACTGACTGCAAATTATAACAGGAAACCACAACGGTTTATCCTAAATAGCTTAAAACTCATAACAGTACACATCTATTTATACTTAGTTTTATTGACCTATGAACAGTGTCTAACTAATAATCCTACCCCACAAGTTGTAAATCACTATCATAATTTTTCTGGCCCTCTAATGATGCAATAAGAGCCTTTAAAAATTAAGCTAAGCTTGTTGATGTAATTACCAAGAGAATAAATTTGAAACTGAACAATGAATTAGACAATGTCCTGTACAGAAAACATTGTAATATAACACATCTCTTGCCAGATTAAAACTTAGTCTTTCTATTAGTTATAAATAACATAGTATAAAATGTCAGAGAGAACTGGCAATTTGGAAAAAAAAGGATGTGACACATGGGTGTGTCAGGTGGTTCCGATTTTCTAGTTCATGGCTCCATAAACAAACAAGAATGAAGGCTATAAAAATTATGCTTTGCCTAAGTATAATATCTATATTATAATGAGTAATTTACGTTAAAGTCCATACTTCTCAGAAGGGTGGTAAATAAATTAGAGAAGATTGAGGATATTATTAAATATTTTCTTACAAAATTAAAAACTTAAAACTAAAATAATATTAATATTAAATATATATTCAATATGTTTTGATGCTAAGTTTATTTGTATACATTGATAACAGTAGTTTAAATTTTGAATGTAATAACTCTGTAAAAGGTTTTGACATGCAGACTTTGACATACCCAACATGAAAGGGTTAATCAATTTAATCATAATTTTGATTAGTCAATTAGTTTGTATGGTACTAATAGATGTAATCACTGTTCATATATAATCAATTAAACTGCACTGTTCTTTTTGCTAGAAAACTTTTAACTGGAGTCTAGCCTGTATTTTTCAAATCTTAAACTTGTGTACTTTCGTCCAATTACCTTCAAAATATAACACAATGAAATTAGAGGTCTTTATCCTATTAATCAACTGGATACTCTTGTAAACTTCAATCAGATCATCTTTTATCTTACTTTTCTCGAGAGACAATAAATTAAGAGATTTTAACCTTTCCATATAAAATAACCTTTTATCTCTGGAGTCATCCAACCAGCCATCCACTCAACTCTTTCCAATAAGTTAATATCCTATCTTAGATAATAACAAAACTGTACATAGTATTCCAAGTGAAGCCTAACTTGTGATTTGTATAGAACAATATAATTATCTCTTTTGACTTGTAATTAATATCTATAAATACCCCACAAAATTCTATTAGCTTTACTTCTAGAACACTGTCTCGCTCAATAGTTTGAATGACTTATCCACTGCTAAGCCAAGACCTCTTTCTTCAGTGCATGCTCTTGTGTAGGTTCCCATCTATAAACATATGACCCAAATTATGATAACCTAAAAGCATTACATAATTTACTATAATTAAAGATCATTTGATAAATATTTGTCCAGCTTACCAAATGATCCAAGTCAATGTGTAATACAGCTAGAAATACCCAGTTAACATCTGAAGTTTAACATTTAAAATATAAGCAAACCATCAACACACTTTCCATTATCCTGAAAGTAAAAAAATACCCTCAAAAAATAAATAAATAATAGATTAGTAAGATATTATTTTCCTTTGAGGAATCTATATTGGCTTTTATCTATGATATCTGATTTCTTTAAACGATTTTATAAAGCTTCTTTCATCAGAGTTTAGAATTTTTCCCAGTACAGACATATGCCTAATTGGTTTATAATTTCCAAGGTAACTCCTAATACCCTCTTCAAAAACTGGAGCAACATAAGCAGCTTTCCAATCCTCACGTTTCTATCCACTGTCTACTGACTTGCCAAAAAATAAAGACAGAGCTTTCATCTTTGACCTCCTTTTAAAAGGCTGGAATACATTTTTTTAGCCCTGTTGCTTTATTTTTCTACTTAATTATTTTCTACTTTTCTTATTAATACCATAAAATTCATAATCTGTATGATTCAGGTAAATTCCAATATTTTCCATGGAATGTATAGAATCAGGAATATTGCTATGATATTTTCTTGTAAAAAACAGAAGAGAACATTTAAAAGCTTAATCATTTCACAGTCTTCAATAAACACCTTGACAGCAGCAGTCTTTAAGAGCCCAATTCCAATTTTAATATCTTGCTTACATTTAACATGATTACAAAAATCCTTGTTGTTAATTTTAACATTATATGCCAGCTGTTTCTCATAAACCCCTTTTAGATTTCTTTTCCAGTTAAATCCTTATCTTTCCTATAGTTTTGTAAATCTTCCAACTTATCTGTCAATTTAAACTTCTAAAAGTATGGCATATATCCTTGATTTTCTCCTTTATGTGATTAGTAAGTCAATTAGGTTCCATCTTTCTAGTTTTCCTCTTTTTTAGGAGAATACTTATTTGAATTAAAAGCAATTCATTTTTTTTAAACTTCCATAATTTGTTCCATGTCACTTTAATGACATAGTATCTGAATTCCCTAAGGATAAATCCTGTTTCATGGCCTTGGAATTGGCTTTCTGAAAATAAGAAACTAAAATTTCATTGCAAGACATCAAACTTCCTTATGCAATGACCACTCTTCCCAAATGTCCCCTACTTTTATTTGGTATTCAAAACCATTTTGATTCATTTCAAGAAATCTCTCCTTCACTATCTAACTCCATACAATCCCAAACAATGTTTAGTACTGCAAGCTTTAGGTTAAGCCTGAAATTACCAATAGACTCCCCTCACACACACTCTGATTTTTCTAAACTTTTTATACATAAAATTTATTGTAGGTTCATGAATTTGTTGGTTACGTAATCCCTAATAACATAAAAGTCAGTGAAAATTGAAATAAATTTTTTGTTTATCATTAATATTGAAATTAATTACACTAATTATTGCATAAATTCCTTAAACATTTAATGTAGAAAAAAAATGATTTCATCCAAATTGTTTTTGGACACTGTGTGTTTTAACATATGAAAAACATAAAATTATTCAACATTATACAATATGAACACCACCAATATTAAAAATAAGTTAGTAATTTGAGAATTAAACTTTTGTTAACAGTGTTATGTTAATGATTACTACATATATAATGCTTTTCCAGTGAAAAGTTTATTCTTATCAGCGTGACAGCCTTCTTCATCAATATTTAATTCATTTTTTAGCATATCTTAATGTAATATTTTTGTTATAAACTGCATGACCTTTTAAATTGTTTATTTCTGGTTTAGTTAATAACACATTCTTTAACATAAGTAGGGTTATTTCTTTTCATAAATAAATCTGTTATGAACTGTCTTACGTGTGTACATGTATCTATTTTTTCAAATAGTTTCAACTGTGTTTTTTTTTAAATTACTTTTTATATTACTAAAAGTTCATATAATGTACTAATTATATACACAACTAACGATATTTTAAATTACATGCCCTATAAACAAAATGAAATAATATAAAACTTGTTTGCCTTCTATGTTTACCATTGAACTACCATTCATTTTATTAATACTTCTAAAGAGGAAATCACTCAAGCTAAGCAATTCACAACAACAGATCTACAACTACAGGGTGATACAGGCTAAATTTGGAAGCAGTTACCACTTTTGGGCACAAAATGTTCAGCTCCAAAATTTGAAAAATCATGTCATGGAAAAGTTAGATCAGGAATAAAAAAAAAGTAAATAATAATAAAAACAAACAAAAATGTTGCTTAGGTTTTTTTTTCTATATCATATTGTTTGGTATTTTGTCTTATCCAAAAACCAATCTGAATAGGTGCACATAAATAACAATATTTAGAAGTACCTATTAGTTTGTTTCATTTTGAACACCCCATGCAATTACTAGCTGAATTACATCTACCCAAATTAATTTTCTGTATTACCCTCTGATAACTGAAATATCCATGAGTTATGTAAACAATTACATATGCACTATTTACCATGCAATCTTTACTGTTTACTAACAAATCTGTACAAAACTGGAAGGTAAAAAGTAGTAATTCAGCACATCAAAGCCATCTACGATCTTTACCAAAAAAAAAAACAAGGGAGGGAATCTTACTGAGGTGTTTAAAATTTAAAGGGAATTGATAGTGTTGATGCATCATCTTTTT